AACTAGTGTGGAGGCACTTCAGAGGACTCTTTGGATCGCAATCTCCAGTTGCCTCATCAATCCGGTCCAAATGCCATGCTTGGTGGCTACATGCCAATCCCGGATCGGCTTTTCACGACATTGCTTGTCTTATGCCTTCACTATAACACCCCTCTAAAACAAGCTAAAACAACAGCCTTAACACATGCAGATAACACAACAAAACACTAGCACAGCGGAAGATAAAAAGGTAACTGGATAAAAGGAAATCCAAACAGGGGTGTTATGCCACGTTTACCAACAATGATAAACTCTACGGCGGTCAAATCTGCATTGTGTACACAACTATCCCAAAATCCATAAGTCTATCACTACATCGGCTCACAGGCCAAAAACAAGGGAAAGGCACTAAACTACCAGGCACTAGACATCGCGCTCGTCTAAACATCACCTGAAAGATCACAAAGATAAACATGGGACGACGCCCGGTCAGCGAATAATGCTGGTAACCCACCAATACATGTGAAATATCATACAGAGATAGATATAAGTTGTAAAGCCATTTTCGAAACGGAATACATAAGTATATAAGTGTAAAACCAAGAGTAAACACCAACTCAAGACTCATCACTCTCAAAGATAACACGGGAACACATCCCAAGACCACAAAGGATAAAGACAAGACCGATGGCAACACATGCCCTTGTGACTACACACGTCACAAGAAAGAGAACTCACAACAACGGCTACACAAGCCCTCGTGACATCACCCATCACGAGTTGATATGCATTCCTTATGCCCTGTTCCAACATTATGGCTACCCCCAACCTTAAATCTTCTTCCAACCATTACCTCCAGGACCCCTATACAACCAAGTCCAACCTTATTCCCCCGGGACGTACCGTCGTCCCCCACCAACGACCACCAACGAGACCACCAATTCATAGTACACAAGGTACCGTACACACATGGCACACATGCCCGGATAACACATGTTATCCCCCATAAAACGTGAACCTTACACAAAGGCCACAACTCCATAATCACGTCACGGCCACCACGAGGACCGCTGCAATACCTTGGTGACTAGTGTCCCATACCACTAATCGTGCAATCCAGGTAAAGCCACACACGCATCACACCACAACAGGAATCAATCAATGGATCACAACGAAGATATGAAACCATACTCAATCAAGGAATGAGTCACAGCCCCAACAACAACGATGAATAACACAAGTTATCATCAACCAAACGGAAGGTACAAACAACACACACACTAGCATTTAAACAACAAACTAGCGTGCTTATCAAACGGGTAAAACAAACGTAGTTCCGAAGAACACACAAGACTCACCACGGTTCAACGAAACACAATGTTGAACACTTAGCACGATACAAGACACCAAAGCCTACATGGAATCCTACCATATAGTTCTAGACATACGAAACATCAAGAAGACACTCAAATAGTTCCACAAAAGAACAGCAGGAAGTCAAAAGATCAAATACCAAGTCAAACGGATCACGGGGAACAAATCCCATCACAACACCAACCATGTACCCGCGGGTGGACCCACGGGTAGTGCCTCACCCGTGCTTCCGCCCGCGGGAACACCTTCCCACAAGGCCATGTACCCGCGGGTAGGTCGGCAGGTGGTGCCCCGCCCGCCATTCCGCCCGCGGGTACACACTTGTACCACAACAAATCCCTTCGGGGATTTTCTTCTCCAAACACAAATTCAAGTCCAACACATGCCAAATCTCACCCAATACAACAAAATGACTTGAACCATGGAAAATGCCAAGCAATGGCACAAAGGAACCCTAAACACAAGCTCTAGATATGCAATATCACAAGACAAATGCATAAACCCTCACATTTCATAGCAAAGCACAAGTAGAATCCAAGAAATCACATATAGGTAAGCAAAATAGGTTTTGTAGAGCATGGGTTACCTCTTGTAGACCAAAAGACTTCACTTTACACCACAAAAAGCTCCCCACAAGGCTTACTTTCCAAACCCACTTCAAGATTAAACTAAAAGATCATAAAGATCCTACCTTTAAGAAAAAGACAACTAAGATGAAACCAAACACACAAGATGGACTTAGATCTTACCCTCCTAGATGACCAAATAGGTGAAAGGTTGAATCTTGGTAGCAAATCTTGGAATCTTGACAAGGGTCTCAACTTAGCTTGGAGAATAAGCTACTCACCTTTCTAGAGAGAAGGTAGAGCTAATTTCTAGGAAATGTAAGGAATGAAATGAAGAAGTCTTCTAGGTTAGGTTACAATACTAACTCTTGGTGAAAAGTCAAGGATACCCTTACTAACCTTTAGAAAGTGTAAGGAACAAGGGAACTCCCCTCAAAGCTCAAGGTACAACATAGCTTTGAAGTTGACTAGTCAAATGCTAGTCCTCGAGTATTAAAAATCAGGATTTTAGGAATTAATTCTTCAAATAAAATAGGATTAATTACTCAATTAATCCATGGATTGAATGTGGATTTTTGGGGTGTCACATTCACTCATTCTCTGGTTTTTGTGGGTGTCCTGCAATGAATGCCTCTACGACGGTTGTTCCTTTGCAGCGGGAGGCGTGATTCGGAGAATCAAACGAGAGTCTTGTCGAGTTTATACGAAGGTGTGTTTAGCATATAACCATTAATGTGCAATCCAACTATCAACTTAGGCTTTTAGTTGAGATGGAGCACATGCCTCAATTTGGTATCAGAGCCAGACCAAAGGTCATGGGTTCGAGTATCTACGTCACCCGATAAGCGACTACGATCCACGTGTTGCTTGGAACCTCCACCTCCCATGGCCACCCATTAGATCTTTTTGCAGCAAAAATGTAAAATCGGAAGTGAGGTGTGGAAGTGAGGTGTGGCGGAGCGAAGCGTGAAGCAGAGGAACAAAGATGGAGAGGGTGATGGTGTTGTTCCTGAGATCCTCTTCTCTGCCTCATCCCAAACATGTTAGGTAGAAGCCGATGACTGTGGGTGCGGAGGAGAAAGTCGTGTTTCTCCTCTGACAACGGCAGACATGTGAAGGCGTTTCTCCTCTGACAACGGCAGACATGTGAAGGCGGTGCACCGACGGGTTGACAACGTGCTCTTAGACCTTGCTGACGCCATTGTAGGATTTTGACAAACGACTTTGGTATGTTGAAAGAAGAAGTGCAAATTATAGTCAAATTACTTCATTACCCTTACACTTGCTGGAAGTCTGATGTCTAAAGTCACCCGGAAGACTAAAACGGTTAAACTTTTGATAGTCGAAGGATGCAATTAGTGAAGTCAAAATGAGTAGGACAAAATTAATTGGTGAAATCGACATAGTGTTCCTAGCTTCTATCTTTACTGCTTGATCGGATCCTATGAATGAAATGCCTATATATCTTTTGGAGGCTTGGATTAGTGTTCCTAGCTTCTATCTTTCACAATAAAATTATGAACAGACTTAATGCTGTCATTTGACTTTTGCATAAAATATTAAAAATAACTAATGGAATATATAACTACTCTAATTCTTTAATGCTTTTATATAATATAATAGGAATTTGATACGAAAGGTGCCACACCGTACCCACCCTCAACGTGAATGCAAACTCCAAAACCCAAGAGAGCTTTAAGGTGGAAGAGGAAGCAAGCAAAGAAAAGGGTGTTGAGAAGTATAATTTTAATTAGAGTAAATACTCAAAATGGTCCATCGACTATAGCTAAATTCACAAATTGGTCTTCGACTTTCAATTTCAACCAATTAAGTCCTTAATTTTGCAATTTTAACACAATTTGGTCGCCTGTATATTTGACCGTTTGTTGACTACGATTTTTGAGGATATATATGTAATTTCATGGTCCATCGTCGATTTTTTAAGGTTCCGGTTGCATTTCCAGACCGCACTGTTACATTTGAATCCACTGTCGAAAGCAATCTACCAAATCCGGTCGCTTCTCTTCATCCCCCCTTTGGAATCAATGTAGTTGAGTTCGTACCAGAGCAAAGAAGACGACGTGTTTCCGAACCGGTGCAACGTCATCCTAGAGGCCTCCACGTGCTCCGACGAGAGCTGCAGGTTCTTCTGGAGATCGTCGTTGATGGCGCGGCCGCCGGCGTTGATGCAGAAGTGTTCAAAGGCCTGTTTGAAGTTGGGAATGTAGGGTTTCCGTATGGGATTGAAGATTTTCCGGTCGATTAGGGTGAAGAGGAAGAGGAGCTGCTCCAACACCGGCCCGCTTTTAATTAGAACTAGAACTCTCGTCTTCATCCCCGGCCCGCTTCGCCTCCATGGTATAACTCCGGCCATGGAGACGAAGTCGGCCGGCATTTCTAATTTTTTTTTAATAATAAAAAAAAATATTACCCATTTTTTTATAATTACTGATTTTTTTATAATTAATTATTTTATTTAAAATTATTTTTTAAAAAATATTTTTTTTTTTGAAAACGTAAACAAATATTTTTTAAATCGATAACTGCCACGTAAATATACTTTCAGATAAATAAGTCATTTTGGGTCTAATTGCATGAGTTTGTGATTTTCAAAGACCCGATTATTATTATTATTATTATTATTATTATTATTATTATTATTATTATTATTATTATTATTATTATTATTATTATTATTTTTTAGTTCGATGACCTAATTGCAGTTTGGTGTGCAGTTAAGTAACCTATTTGAACCAAGGACCTTGTGGTCTAATGGCACCAAGTTGCTCCCTCACAGGAGAGGTTGTGGGTATAGCCTTTAGTATTAAAAAAAAAAAAAAAAAAAAAAAGTGACATATTTGACATTTATTCCTTTAATTTTTTTTTTTTTGGGTCCATTTAAGCATATAACTAAGCAAGTATTACGGAAACTTATTGGTAACTTGCAACTGTTTTTAGTTCAGGCTCAAATCAATTGCATAAACTCAAGAAGTTCAAGGGAATTAACACTTTTCTTAAATTGTAATCTATATAGCAATAAGTGCAGGGGATAAGAGATGAAGGTAAATCGGCAACAGGAAATAAACTAAAACATATATATTCAAACAACAGTTGGAAGATGATTAAGGAACTTGCATAGTAGAGGATTCAGGTGGCAGGATTTTGATGACATACATACAACAATTAAGAAATCATTTACCTTGCAAGTTGCAAGGTTGTAGCTGCAGTGGACAAATTAAATACCATTCTGCGGGCCACTATAATATATATATCAATCGTTATATCGTGGACCAGGGTCCACAATGCACTATGGACCTTGGTTCAATACACAGAATTCATGTTCATAATACATATAAACATAAATATGGCATAATAAACATGAATTCTGTGTATTGAAACAGGGTTCACAGTGTGCTGTGGATCCTGGTCCAAATATAAATTGCCATATATATATATAGTCCGTCAAGACTAACTATCTGTAAATGTTGGCAACGCAACAGACCAAGCAGAAGCAGAAGCAGAAGCAGAAGCAGATGTGTTACTCCTCGACAAGCTACTGGAAACCGAAAGACTCATGCCCATCAGTGAACGGCGCCACTCATCAATATCAATCCTCTTCTTGGATTCCAAATTGACGGGAGGCGGATGATTTTGAAGCAGCTTCAGAATCTCTTCCGTTTCGCCTATGATATGAGCCATCTCTTGGACAGTCTCCTCCCTCTTCTCAATGCTGACAGATGAGCATTTTCTTGTGACAGCCTCAGGAAGGTTGGTTAAGCAAGCGCCCAATATATCACCAATCATTACATATATATGCTCTAAAAGTTTCTCATTCTCCACTTTTTCTGCCCATACAGAATTGCTTATTCGTTGCATTGAATAAGCGGCTATAACCTTCTTAGGCCAACGAGAGCAGTCTTTGTCCAGTTCCACATTTTTGCCAATATAAGCTCTTGCAATCTCATATAGTTCTATTAGAACATCATTGGGAGTATTTCCTTTTTTACAGCCCATTTGACTAAGGTCCTTGTTTAAAAACTTACCATACAAATGCAGATCGGACCATGCTTCATCTGCTGCATCCCTTACTCTCTTGAATAGCCCTCCCCCGGTGTCTAAGATTTCATCCACAATGCTCACATACTTGAGACCTTGACTTACACTGCTAAGCAAATTTTCTACTTCTTTGACACCACTGTCCAAGAGTGCAATCACAATGCTTGTTAGCGTAATAACAGGCAGTTTCCAACAATTAGGCAGCACTTGAGGATACCGAGAAATATCATTGTTGCTATCAAATTTCGTCACTCCATTGAAATTGGCAGTCATTTTCTCTAAAAGCTTTAACAGCTGTTTTGGTTGTTGGTCAATACCTTTCTGAAAGAATTTGCCGAGAACATTCTTGTTTTCTGCCATCACCTCAGGTAGCAGATCCTCACCTTCAAGATGCAAAACATAGCGACTAACATCATGGACTTCACTATCACCTAGTTTGGGTTGAAGAAAGCAGGGTAGAAGTAGCCTAATGAAGGCAAGGAAAAATATTAGCACCAATTTGCAAAAAACAACAGTCAGAACCTGAAGTTTTATACAAAAGCACAATACCATATCTTCAAATTTTTTGATTGCCTTCATGAAACAACGCCCTCCTATTTGAAAAGGCAAATGACTCTCTTTCCATTTTTTCAGTCTTTCAGTCCAGTATATCTCAGGGCTAAAAGTACAACTACATTCTCTACCCCCGCTTGAAGATTTGATTTTTAGTACAATAAAGCATCTAAATAGTGGAGCCAATGTGCCTATAACCACACCCAAACACTGAATCCAAACAATTACATATGTCAACACCTGGTAATCCGAGGAATAATGTCCTCCATCCTCGGATTGAACTCTAAGCAAATATAATCTAATGAATGCTTGACATAGTACAACAGCACTGAGACAACTAATGACAGATGATGCAAAGCAAGCGGGTGAGCGTACCATCACATATTGAGGATTACTACTCTCCGCCATCAACCAATATTTGATCACTGCTTCCCTCAATTTCACCCCCCCACCCTCTAAATTCTCATATGCAATCATTTCACTGATTTCAAGATACTTCCTTTCAAGAATCATTTTGGTGGTTGGAACCACCAAAGCAGAGCAACTCATCATCCAAAACAAAAGAAATGCGAAACAAACAGCTAAAACAAGTTCAACCCTAAACAAAAAGATCAAACCAGTGCCTAGTTGGATAGAAACATTGACAAGGAGGGTGATAAGAAGAATAACCAAAGCAGTCATGTTCAAAAGAACATCTTTGTTGTTCATAGCCCCTAAAGAAGGCGTGAAATTAGCCATTGATGTTGCCATAAAAATGACACTGCTAAGCTTCGAGAACTGGTCGAATGAACCCGGCATAGGATTGTTCAGATCCAATGCCAGTTTTGTAGCAACTCCCAACACTGTCAATGAAGCAGCATTAAGTGCAAAAAACTTGGATGGGAACCAAAACTTTCTTCTGCAGAATCCTTGGACTGTATTAGCAGCCATTGCGAACAAGCATATAAAAGAAGTTGCTGCTATATAGATGCCAATCCATGGCATTGGCTTACTGAAGCTGTCTCTGTTGCACTTAATGGAATCCATCGGACTTTCATCACAGTAGCCCATTTTCTTTTTAGAGTTTCTCTCTCAAGTATACCTGGATTTGGTTCCCGTTTGTTTCAACCTAGACGACCAACAAGAGGAGTATAATTATACATAGACCTCGGAGCTCTCATATACCCATGATTATATTATACAACTGGCCAGAAAACTTTCAAAAACATAGAAAAATCTCATTACAACTAACGAATTGAAACCAAAATAAATTAAAGCTTACAGTTTTTAGCTGGAATGGTGGTCTCAGTTTTTAGAATGCCCCGCAACCAGAAGTCCAGAAATGTAGACCCAAGGAGAAATCTAGTAACTTAGTAAGTGATGTGATAAATTTGGCAGTGTTTAGAAGGAACTTTCCTATATTGACTTTAAAATGACAAAGTCATCACTAAGAGCATCCTCAATAGTGGTCAAGGAGTTTTTGCCATGATTAAGAAAAAGAAAATGAGAAGAGGGAAAAAAAGAAAAAACCAAAAAAAAAAAAAAAAACAAAACAAAAAACTGAAAAAAAAAATTGTACACATGAGGCACTCAAATTGTCAATAACCAGCACCATGTTGGGGAACAGTCACCACGGGTTCTGAAGCCCTCCCATGAGTGAATTCACGCATGGGACGGAGGGATTAACTTTCAATACATTAAAAATGAATCTTCAGACAAGAACATTCATCAATGGTCTACCATAGTTCACAATGCAATATGGACCATGGTCTATAGTATAATTCACAATAATATTATAGTTGCTAATTTGGCAATGCTAATTTAAATATGATAACTACAATTGATTATTCCACCAATCAAGGGTCTGTTTGGTTTACACATGGGAATCAGAATGAGAATTAAATACTTGGTAATGGTAATGGATTTTGGTGAAAGTATTTTACATGTTTGGTAGTAGGATGGAATTTGAATGATTACAAATATTTATGTTTCGTTGTGTATGACATTATAATTGGATTAAATGTTTTAATTTAAAAATACAAAAACAAAAAAATCAAGGCGATTGATCCTAATATAATGGCATCCAAAGCATCAATTTGAACAATAAAATCAAAACGAAAATCTAAAAGTACTATTCGAAACTTAAAAATTAGATTACCAATAAGATAGAATAGTACCCCTTTTTAATTAGAGAATGAGATTTTTAATTGAATAGGTAATCAAATCTCACAATTCTGTTTTAAAAAGTTGTCAACCAAGCACTAATTATGATTTTGATTCACATTCATAGTGCGTTAACCCATGAACCAAACACACACAGAATTGTCCTATACAACAATTTATGTTTGGTATTTACCATTAGGTAATTCTAGGGATATATTTTGGTTCTCACATGGGAATTTGAATGGGAATCAAATACTTGGTAATGGTAATGATTTTGGTGAAAGTATTTGGCATATTTTGGTAGTAGGGTGGAATTGGAATGATTACCAATATTGATATTTGGTTATGTATGACCTTATAATGGGAATAAAGATTTTAAAAATACAAAAACAAAAAATTAAGGCAAATCGTTCTAATATAATGACATTCAAAGCACTAATATGAACCAAAAAAAAAACAAAAAAAAAAAAAATTAAAAGCATTAATCTAAACTTGAAAAATAGATTACCAATATGATGGGATGATACCAGTTTTTAATTAGAAAATGTGATTTTAATTGAATGGGTAATCAAATCTCATAATTTTGTTATTTCTAAAAAGTTGTAACTAAACAATAATTATGATTTTGATTCTCATTTCTGATGTATAAATCCATAAACTAAAACACCTAATGATACCAAATTTAGTATATATAATGTGCGAAGTACTATTTGGTATACCCTCTCTAAGAATAGGTTGAAGAGGCGGCTCTGTTTGACAACGCTAAGCTAGGAGCTTATAGCTTATTTTAAGCTACTAATAAGCTATAAGCTCTGTTTGGTAATGTTCTCAAAATAAGCTCCTAGCTTAAAATAAGAGCTTATTTTAGAACGCTACTTTAGGTAGCGTTTCAAAATAAGCTACTAGCTTCCTAACTTTTTTTCCATCTTTACCCTTATTATTTTAAAGTAATGACATATTTTAACCTTATGAATTAAAACCATTTCTCTTCCCCTATCCCAACTTTCACATCAACCCCTTCATCTTTAGCTTCTTATTATTATTATTGTTATTATTATTGTTATTGTTATTATTATTATTATTATTATTATTATTATTATTATTATTATTATTATTATTATTAAATTAGCAATATGGCTTCAACCAATGACAATATTGCTACTTCGTTATGGGATGCTAGATCATGATCATGCTAATAGTTTTATTTTAAAAAAATGTTTACTTTTTTTTGGAAGACGAAATGTTAAATTTTAATATGTAAACAAACTAATTTAAATTTTATGAAGATGTCCTTTTTAGTCTTTTTACATTTATCAGCTTATCAAAAAGCTAATTTTACCAAACACTTTCAATCATAACAGCTAGCTTAACAGCTCTTCAATTTTCAGCTCCGAGCTTATAGCTTTTCAGCTTTCAGCTCCTTTTCAGCTATCAGCTCCTAGCTTATAGCTTTTCAGCTAGGTTTGCCAAACAGAGCCGGAGAGGATGCATGTCTAATCATCCGCAACCCCTTGCATCTAATATGATTTTATTTATTTAATTACTTTTTAACTATGATTCTGTCCGACCTTCCGGTACAACAACCCAATTGAAGCCACGAGAAGCCAGTTATAAGAATTATTTTTTAAAAAATCAAAATTATAATCTTAAACTATGAGTAAGGCAAATTATATTGTAGACGGCGGTCCATAATGCATTGTGGTCCAGTTTTTAAAACGGTGCCGTTTCTTTTAATGGAAAAAAAAAATAAACAGCTCATGTTCCACGCCGTTTCACATAATGTAGCCTTTGTTTTATAACATATTCAGTTTCGTTTTATATACACTGCAGTTTCATTTCGATATAACTACAGTTTCATTCGACATTATACACTCAAATATGTGAAACTGTTATTCAATTTCATTTTATATATACTACAGTTTCATTACAACACAAGTATAGTATCATTTCGATATAACTACAGTTTCAATGGACAATATACACTCAAATATGTGAAATTGTTATGCAGTTTCATTTCAACACAATTGCAATTTCATTTGAACACAACTACATTTTCATTTCGATATAACTACAGTTTCATTCGACATTATACACTAAAATATGTGAAACTGTTATTCAGTTTCATTTTATATATACTATAGTTTCATTACAACACAACTACAGTATCATTTCGATAAAAATATAGTTTCATTGGACTATACACCCAAATATGTGAAACTGTTATTCAATTTCATTTTATATACACTGCAGTTCATTTCAACACAACTACAATTTTATTTCAATTCAATTACAATTTCATTTGATAATATAAAAACAATACGTAAGACAGTTTCATTTGAAATAAACTGTAATTTTATTTTGTAATTAACACACTAAAAATACGTGCTCTATTAAGATGTAACGGTAGCCGTTTTATTACTTAAAACCATGGTTCACGATATAATTGATAAACGAATAATTTTATCAAATTTGTTGACATAGTCAGTCCATTAACAAAAATTACATAATTATATTGGATAAACTTACGTAATAGTGAGAAAAATTCTAGTCAACTTTTTAGCACAACAATCCAATTAAAGCGACAAGACACCTGCCTGCTATACGAAATATTAAAAAAAAAAATCAAAATTAAACCTTATCACTATGAATATTATATAAATATTATTGGCTTATTCAATCCATTACCAAAAAGTTAGGTAACTGAATCCAATAAACAAGTTTAAGAGCATGTTTGGTTCACGAAATTAATTTTGAGAGAATAAGAATATTATTTAATAGGGAATAGAATAAGTAAAGAATATAGCATAAATTGTACCCTATTATTTGATCTGTTGAAGGAATCGACTTTAAGAATTTACTAGTACAAAAATAATTATAGAACACTGACTTTTAGCGACTATTCTAAAAAGAACAATGGCATATTCTTTAAAAAAAAGTCACAATGACAATTTCGTAAATATTTGAATACAAATCTACAACCGTTTATCCGTTTCTAATTAAAAAGGACGCAGTTTAAAAAAAACGTGTTGACTTTCCGTGATTGTTCCTTCTAGAGACAGTCGCGGAAAGTAAATATTAAAAAAAGAATAGGCTTTTCGCAACTGTTCCTCTCAAAAACCGTTACGAAAAGTTGAAATTAATATATATATATATATATATATATATATATATATATATATATATATACACACACACACACACACACACACACACACACACCATCCGCCACCGTATCTATCTATTAGACACAGTGGCAGAAAAATTATTAAACAAAACAAGATTTGGAACACTACATACTCTTGATCACTCACTCTCACACCATTCACACCGCCAGCCACCACAGATCACCACCGCCTCCACCACCACAACCTCATACGCCACAGTCGCCCAGCCACTGACGCCACAATGTTAGTAATGTTATTATTAGTATTTGTTATTATTGTTGTAACACTTATTATTTATATGGTAGTGGCTTAGTCTTGTATGATTTGCCTATTAGTCAGGAGTAGTTTACGTTAGCTATCTTTATTTTGTATTGTTCTTTCAGTTAGATTGTAACAGTCTTGATTATCCTAATCTCATCTGGTATCAGCAACCCTATCGGTCCTCTCCTAAAATCTCTCTCCTACCCGTCGACTTCTTCTCCGATTAACAATGTCGACGAATTCCTCCGAGCGCACGGTCATCGCTGCCACCGTTGCTGCTCCGGCCACCACCCAAAATTCCCTCTCCTCAGCCCACCATTTCGTTTCCATAAAACTAACCTCCCGGAACTTCTTGTTTTGGCGCACCCAACTAGTTCCGTTCCTCCGTGGCCAAGGTCTCCTAGGCTACGTAGATGGCGACATGCCCTGTTCCACCACCGACGGTCGAGGTTGTTCCCACCGGCGACTCTGCTTCTGGAACAACGACGGCTGTCTCCACCGCCAACCCCGCCCACGCTGCCTGGGTGCAGCAGGATTAAAGTATCCTATCACTATTGATTTCGTCACTCTCAGACGAAGTCATGTACTTAGCGGTCGGAAGGCACACCTCGCGTGAAGTATGGCTGTTGATCACGGCCGCCCTTGGCTCGTCCTCCCGAGCCCGCTGTCTGAGTCTTCTCGGACAATTCCAGAGTCTCCGCTAAGGCAACCTCACTCCGGCAGATTTTCTTGGACGTGCGCAACTGCTTGTTGAAGCTCTGGCTCAGGCTGGACGCCCCATCTCACTGGACGAACAGAACATGTGGGTTTTTAGGGGTCTCCGTCCAGAATTCTGGGCACTTGCTGCATCGCTCACGGTCACCGGCACTCCGGTAACAATCCCGCAACTTTCAGATTATTTGCAGGCGCAAGAATTCATTCTTGCAGATGATTATCCGGCGTCAGGCGATGGGATCATCGCGGGTTTTCCGGCTGCTCTTTACGCTGGACGTGGGCAGTCCGGCGGAGGCAGCTCTGGCAACTCCCGCGGCGGTAATGGACGAGGCAGAAACGGCCGAGGTCGCAGAGGCAATGCCGGTCGTGGCCGGAATGGTGCGCCGCGCTGTCAGATTCGCCGGTCGCACGGGCACATCGCCGTCTACTGCTTCAAACGATACACTACCCAGCCTCTGGCGCAGGCCAACCTCGTTGTTGCTGGTGATGAGACGTCGGCAGTTCCGGCAGCGCAGTCCTGGTTCCCGGACACGGGCGCTACTGCTCACGCTACTCCGGATCCGAACATGGTGAATCAAGCCGACGAGTACTCCGGTGGAGATGTCCTGAGAGTTAGTAATGGCACAGGTTTGACGATTTCTAAAGTTGGACATGCATCTTTATCTATTCCTTCCCACTCTAAACAGTTATCTCTATCCAATGTTTTAATTGTGCCAGATTTGTCAGTTCCGTTGTTATTGAAATGTACATCGTTTTACAAATGAAAATGATGTATATTTCGAATTTCACAAAAATTACTTTGTTGTGAAGGATTCCGTCACCAAGGCGATATTGCTTAAAGGTCCTGCTTCGGGTGGTCTATATAAACTCCCGGTGTCTCACAATCATGTTGCGTTCATAAGCTCCCGGGCCACTCCCGGGGTGTGGCATCGTCGGTTGGGTCACCCACACGCGCAAGTCCAAAGTCGTGTCCTAAAATCATGTACTGTCATTGCAAATAAAACAGAAGGGAACCGGTCATGCACAGCGTGTCATCTAGAGCCGTCAAAAATGGGTTTTACCCGTCGGGTCGACCCGTCCTGTACCGCCGTAGGTAGGGGACGGGTTCTTCAAATTTTGATCCGCCAGGAGGCGGGCTTTTTAGCCCGTCCCGCCTGGGTCACGGGTCCAGGCGGGGCGGGTCAGGCGGGTCACGGGTTTAGCCCGCGACCTGCTAATACATATATATTTTGTATATATATTTAATATTTAATACATGTTATTTTGGTTTGTGTAATTGTGTTAGTGTGTTATAACTTATAGGATTATAGATTTATAGGAATATAATACTAGGTAGTGTTACTGTACGTCTATACAGTGATTTTTTATTTTTTAAGGATATTGTACAGTGATTTTTTTTTTATTAAAAAGAATTAACACAGTGAAAAAATTAATTGGCGGGCTAGTCCGCCCCGCCAGCGGGCTTTGGCATGGCGGGGCGGGCCGACCACATTCAAAGCCCGCTAAGAGGCGGGCTTTTTTGTCCGTCCCGCTACGAGGATGGACTTTGATGTGTTTTGGCCCGTCCCGTCCCGCGAGACCGTTTCGACGGCTCTAGTGTCATCTTGGCAAATCTACGCGATTTTCGTTAGATAGGGTGGCATTCTCCAGTCAAAATGTCTTAGATCTTTTGTATACGGATATTTGGGGCCCCGCGCCCGTTATTTTTGTTTCTGGTTATAGATATTTTCTTCAATTTGTAGATGATCATTCCCGGTTCTGCTGGTTTTATCCATTAAGGGTAAAATCTGACATCTATAAAATTTTTGATTCTTTTCGCGTTATGGTAGAACGCCAATTTTCGCGTTCTATCAAATGTATACAGTCGGATCTAGGGGGTGAGTACCAAAAATTGCAAAAAACATTCCAAATACTCGTATTGTGCACAGACAGTCATGTGCTTACACACACGAGCAGAACGGCAGGGTTGAGCGCCGAAATCGGCATATTGTTGAGACAGGGTTAACTCTTCTTACCGAAGGCTCAGTACCCTTGGAATACTGGGACTATGCCTTCGAAACAGCAACCTATCTAATTAACTACTTAGCCTCGTCTGTGTTACAGTTTGAGAGCCCATACACTCGTCTCCACAAAACAGCACCCCCATACACCTTTTTACGGGTCTTTGGGTGTCGATGTTACCCCTATCTCAGGCCTTATAACCGGCACAAGATAGAATTTCGGTCGGCACCCTGCGTCTTCCTAGGTTACCCCCATCTTTTAGGGGATATAGATGCATGGATCTAACAACGGGAAAAGTCTTTATCTATCGCCATGTCCGATTTGATGAGACGTCTTTTCCTTTTTCAGACTCGTCTTTGCAGGGTACAGAACAGTCCAACGTACCATCCACTTCGTGGGGCGCTGGACCCATCATACCACACATGCAATCAACACCGTTGGCAACTAGCCCTCCTTCGCCTCCACCTGATGTGGGCCCTGCGCCCATCGCACAAGACCTGGCACCCTTGGCTATAGAAGGGCCCAGGGTGGCTCGGAAACGCGGTCGGCCTCGGAGTCATCCCCAGGAATGGGATCATGGTATGCGTCTTCGACACATGACTCGTGGCACTGGTGAACCGTTTCAAGCTTTGATTGTTACCGCCGATCCGACGTGTTATTCTCAGGCAGTAGGTCATCCGGAGTGGCGGGATGCCATGGACCAGGAGTTCAATGCTTTGCTACACAACAACACCTGGAGGTTAGTTCCGGCCGAGCCTCACATGAATGTGATTGGGTGCAAGTGGGTTTTCCGAACCAAACCCACCGCCGATGGTAGAGTTGAGTCCTACAAAGCACGGCTGGTCGCCAAAGGGTTTAATCAGGTAGCAGGTGAAGATTTCTTTGATACATTCAGCCCGGTGGTGAAACCCACAACAGTCTGTTTGCTATTTTCTATAGCTGTTTCCAAAAATTGAACTCTGCGTCAACTGGATGTTCACAACGCCTTCCTCAACGGACACTTAGCTGAAGCCGTGTATATGAAGCAATCGCCCGGGTATGAAGATCCTTCGCATCCCGACCATGTCTGTCACCTCCAGCACTCTCTCTATCGCCTCAAACAAGCACCACAGGCCTGGTTCAAAAGATTTCATGACTACTTAATCTCTGCAGGTTTTTTGTCCTCGAAGACCGATGTTTCCCTTTTTCACTACTCTACTGACGTGTCACGTGTGTTCTTGCTAGTGTATGTCGACGACATAATAATGATGAGGGATGATGCAGGTCTAATTGATAGCCTTCTCAGCCGTTTGTCCACGGTGTTTAAAATTCGGGATCTTGGAACTCCGAGTTTCTTTATTGGCATCGAGACACTAGATTGATGCTCTCACAGCGCCGATATATGGGTGATCTCTTGACTAGGGCTGGAATGTCTGATTGCAAGCCTTTGTCCACACCAGCTGCTCTCAGTCAACCAGTTATAGCGTCCGCAGAACCGCATGACAATCCGACGCAATATCGACGACTAGTAGGGGCCCTACAGTACCTCACCATTACACGGCCGGATTTATCTTATGCTGTGAACCGGTTGTGTCAGTTTATGCATTCTCCGACTACTGATCACTAGGCTCTACTTAAAAGGGTCTTGCGGTATATCAAGGGCACACTTGACTACGGTTTACGCCTTCAGGCATCTCCTTCTACCGAGATACATGCTTTTTCAGACTCTGATTGGGCCGGGTGCCAAGTCGACAGGAAGAGTACTAGTGGGTATGCCGTCTACCTAGGGTCTAATCTCATTTCGTGGCTTTCCAGGAAGCAACGCACTGTGGTCCACTCCTCTACCGAGGCCGAGTACAAGGCGTTAGCCCGATGTCTGAGCAGAAGTCACGTGGATTGTCTCTTTGCTACAGGAACTCCGGCTTCATTCTGGGCAACCAGCCACTCTCTGGTGTGATAACTTGGGTGCTACCTATCTCTGTGCTAATCCAGTTTTTCAAGCCAGGACCAAACACATAGTGATTGATTTCCACTTTGTTCGGGACAAGGTGGCCTCCGGGGAGTTTTCAGTGAATTTCGTGTCAACCAAAGATCAGATTGCAGACATCTTCACCAAACCCCTACCTGGACCACATTTTGCCACGCTACGAGACAAGCTCAATGTTGTCTCACACCACCCTTGAGCTTGAGGGGGTGTGTTAGTAATGTTATTATTAGTATTTGTTATTATTGTTGTAACACTTATTATTTATGTGGTAGTGGCTTAGTCTTGTATGACTTGCCTATTAGTCAGGAGTAGTTTACGTTAGCTATCTCTCTTTTGTGTTGTTCTTTCAGTTAGATTGTAACAGTCTTGATTATCCTAATCTCATCCACAAACGCCGCCGATCTAATACAACATCGTTGATCTGCAGCCGGGACCAACGTGATGAAGTGCATAATACAGTGTGAACCAATGCCAAAGCCATTATTGTATTTTCCTTCTATTATAACCGCTCGGTCTTGAATAGTCTTGAGTATATAAGCACTGTTTCATTTCTTTTCTGTTGTAATTTCGGTTGCAAGAACAATATGGTGATCAATGTCAGTTGCTATCTTCCCACTTTCTATCTTAGCTTTGACTAGCGTTTACGGAGATTCAACTCTTCCAACATGGTATCAGAGCTGCTCCGACACAGCAATGCCGCCGCCGTCATAGGGAACGCCGGAGCTCGTGAAGGAACCTCAACGGAAAACGAGACATTTTCTCCAATGGATCAAGCCGCCCCAAATCAGAATGCAGTTCATCCAGCTAATGATTTCGATGATCCTTTTTATCTCCATGTTACGGAGAATCCAAATTTGGTGCTCGTTTCGCCTCTCCTCTCCGAAAACAATTACGCCTCCTGGAGTAGATCCATGAAGATCGCCCTAAGACTGAAAAACAAATTAGGTTTTGTGAATGGAGCGATTGTAAATCCAGGTGTGCGAGATCCGAAGTACTCTGTCTGGAAAAGATGCAACGACATAGTATGCTCATGGATCTTGAAATCTCTCAACTCAACCATAGCAGAGAGTGTCCTGTATTTTGAGATAGCAGAGGATATCTGGAAGACTCTCCAAGCAAGATACTCACAAGCCGATCCACACAAGATTGCAGAAGTCCAGAACGAAATCTACAAGAATAAGCAAGGTACTCTGACTATCAATGAATACTTTACAAAATGTAATGCTCTGTGGGAACAGTTAAATGCAATGAGTCTTATACCGATATGTGAATGCACTCCTAGATGTTCTTGTAGTTTGATGAATAAGATACAAAAGGATAGGCATGATGATCAGATAATTAGATTCTTGGAAGGCCTGAATGATGAATTTGAGACTATAAAGTCTGGAGTATTAGTCATGGACCCTATTCCAACACTGGAAAAGGTTCTAAATATGGCCTTGAAATTGGAGAGGAAGCTTAATGGATCAGTTAGTCACAAGAACAATGAGATCCTACAGTCCAATGCCATTCAAGATAATTCCAGTCAGAACATAGATGATCAGAATTTTGTGGCAGTCTTAAACTCACATAACAAGAAGAAGTTTAATGCTAATGGAGGAAAGAATGTACCAAAGTGCACATACTGTAACATGCTTGGGCACACAATAGAGAAATGCTATAAAAAGCATGGATACCCTCCTGGTTGGGTGGCTGGCTACAAGTCCAGAAATAAGCAAGGTCAAGACAATCAACAAGCAACAAATGTGTCAGTATTGGTGATATAGGGTTGTCTAATGATCAGTTCCAGAGGTTGATATCTCTATTACAGATTCAGAATCAAGGCAATCAAGCATCTACCATTGCAGCTGTCACAGTAAACAAATATGGTTTGAGGCCAGAATTCATGAATGTGTCACAAGAATCCAAAGAAGGCAGGTCCATCCTTAACCCTTCTATTAATTCCATTTTAAACTGTTCTACTATGTGGATTCTAGACTCAGGGGCAACAGATCACATTACTTGCTCCCTAGAGTATTTTGAAAGATACTACAAAGCCTATAACATATCTGTTAAGTTGCCAAATGGAGAAACAGTAGAAGTTACCCATATATGAGAAATCAAACTCCACCCAAATCTACTGTTAGAGAATGTGTTATATATTCCCTCATTCACATTCAATATTGTGTCCACTAGCAAGTTAACAAAGCAAGGCAGCTGTAAAATTGTCATGAGTGCTAAATTCTGTAATATTCAGGGTCCCTATGGGATAATGGATGGTTTTGCTGAAGAAAAAGGGGGGTTGTACCTACTCAGAGATCTTCCCACAAGAAGGAAAGCTCAGTCTGATGAGAAATCTAGTAGCCAATGTAACAGTGTTTCTTTACAATTGTGGCACAATAGGTTAGGGCACTATCCTATAGATAAGATACATTGTCTGAATGGTATTAAGCCTAAGCCTACTCAGTTGAATAAAACACATGGTTTTGCTTGTGATATATGCCATTTTGCCAAGCATAAAAGGTCTTCCTTTCCTATCAGTGTGACTAGAGCTGAGAATTGTTTTGATTTAATTCATATGGATGTATGGGGACCATTTGCTGCTGCCCGCCTATAAGGGGAACACTATTTTTTAACTTTTGTTGATGACCATAGCCGGTTCACTTGGTTACACTTAACGAAACACAAGTCTGAAGTTAAAACATTGTTTCAGAACTTCTATTACTATATTGAGGCTCAGTTTTCAGCAAAAATAAAAGTAATAAGAACAGACAATGGGAGTGAGTTTTTTATGAGCACCTTCTTAAATGAAAAGGGGATTGTACATCAAAAATCCTGTGTAGATACCCCTCAACAAAATGGTATTGCAGAGAGAAAATATTAGCATGTATTGAATGTGGCAAGGGCACTAAGATTTCAGGCTGGTTTACCAATAGAATTCTGGAGTTAGTGTGTTCTACATGCATCATACCTTATCAACAGATTGCCCACTCCTACAAATAAAGGAAGTTCTCCTTATGAGGTCCTGTTTGGAAAAATGGTGAATTATGATCAATTAAGAACCTTTGGTTGTCTTTGTTTTGCTGCTACTACCTCACAAGGAAGAAACAAGATGATGCCAAGGGCCAGAAAGTGTATATTCTTGGGGTTCCCTGCAAATGTAAAAGGATATATACTTTATGATATCACTGACAAATATATTTTCATTTCCAGGGATGTTCACTTTTATGAAGAAATTTATCCTTTCAATGAAGCTAATGCAGGAATCAGACCTGATTTTGTGCTACCTCAGAATGAAGTATTTAATCCCTCTTTGCCTCTGATCCCTATCTCCATTGAAGAAGAGTTTGTGCCACCAGCAGTCACATAAAGGACTACTGTCAATGAGAATGATCAGACAATTCCTGATGCTACACCACCACATACAGCAAATGATCAGACAACTATCAATGAGAATGATCTGATCACTGACAATAATAGTGAACTAGACATGGGGGAAATTCCACAAGAAGAAGATACCAGCTGTTTACAACTTAGAAGATCTGAAAGAACCAGGCACATTCCCACCAGGCTACAGGACTACTACTGTCAGTTGATGATGAGAGACAGTACAGATGGCAGAACTTCTCCACACTCACTGAATAAGGTCATTTCCTTGGAATCTCTTAATCCCAATCATAAGATATGTGCATCATCCATCTCATCTACATGTGAACCACAATCATATAATGAAGCTGTTCAACATGAATCATGGGGAAGGGAAATGCAGAATGAGATAGAAGCTCTAGTTGCTAATAACACATGGACATTGACAGATTTACCACCAGGAAAATGCCCAATTGGCTGCAAGTGGGTGTATAAGTTCAAACACAAAGCATATGGTTCCATAGAAAGATATAAGGCAAGGCTGGTTGCAAAAGGGTATACTCAACAACTAGGGGTTGACTATACTGAAACATTCTCACCAGTTGCTAGAATGACAACAATTAGGACCTTTCTGGCTGTGGCAGTTGCAAAGAGATGGGATATTCAGTAGCTAGACATTAACAATGCCTTCCTACATGGAGATTTAGAGGAGGAAGTTTACATGGTCTTGCCTCCTGGTTTTCATAGTGACAGTCCCAAGCAAGTTTGCAGGTTACTAAGGTCCTTATATGGCCTAAAACAAGCCAGCAGGCAGTGGAATGCCAAGCTCACAAAAGCCCTCAAAACCACTGGTTTCCAGCAATCCACAGCAGATCCTTCATTATTCACCAAAACTTCAGAAAAATCATTCACTGCCTTGCTCATATATGTGGATGATATACTAGTAGCTGGAACAGATTCATCACAAATCAGTGAACTCAAGTCATTCCTAGACAAATTATTCAAAATCAAGGATATTGGCCACTTGAACTATTTCCTAGGAATTGAAGCTTTCAGAACATCTGATGGGATTAATATTTGCCAAAGAAAATACACCATGGAGATACTGAAGGAGAATGGGTTCCTAGAAGCCAAACCTGCTAACCAGCTATTTCAGGTCAGAAACTCAACAGCCTGGAAGGTACCTTCATTGATAACCCTGAAGTGTATAGGAAGATGATTGGCAAACTCCTATACCTAACAAACACAAGGCCAGAGATCTCCCATGCTGTTCAACAATTGCGCCAGTTTGTTGACAAGCCCACAAACATTCACCTCACAGCTGCTCAAAGGGTACTTAAGGTACCTCAAAGGATCTCCAGGAAAAAGGTTTATTCTATCCCACAAACACTCAGATCAGACTACAAGGGTTCTCAGACTCTGACTGGGCAAACTGCACAGAAACTAGAAAATTTGTAACTGGTTACTGCATCTACTTTGAAGATGCTTTGATCTCATGGAGGACCAAGAAACAACCCACAGTGTCAAGGTCTTCCTCTAAGGCAGAATACAGGGCTCTAGCCTCCACTGTTTGTGAAATTCAATGGCTGCACTACTTACTAGCAGATCTGAATGTGATTTTTGAT